TCATTATGCAACATATACATGAATACATTAAACCATACTCCACAAATATGTACAATTGCAATGTGTCTTTTTTTTTTAAAGAAACAGTATTTCTTCTATTTTTTTTTTTTTTTTTTGGAGACAGAGTCTCGCTCTGTCGCCCAGGCTGGAGTGCAGTAGCCAGATCTCAGCTCACTGCAAGCTCTGCCTCCCGGGTTCACACCATTCTCCTGCCTCAGCCTCCCAAGTAGCTGGGACTACAGACGCCCGCCACCTCGCCCGGCTAGTTTTTTGTATTTTTTTTTAGTAGAGACGGGGTTTCACCGTGTTAGCCAGGATGGTCTCAATCTCCTGACCTCGTGATCCGCCCGTCTCGGCCTCCCAAAGTGCTGGGATTACAGGCTTGAGCCACCGCGCCCGGCCAGAAACAGTATTTCTTCTATTATTAAACGGAAAAATACCCCAGGCTTCTGGTACATGGATGTTCAACATTCTTTTATAAGACAGTCGGACTAACCAGGAAGATTTTATCTTTTTACACATTTTGCTGCAAACTCCAATTTCCCTTGATGATATGCCTTCCCATAAAAAGAACATTATCCATTTCAGCCTTCCCTGCACTGTTTTATATTTAAAATCAGTATCATAGGGTTTCATATTTTTAATTTCTCTTCAACTGTTTCATGAACATATGGTCTTTGTCTCCTCAACTACTCTGAAGTCCTTCAGGGAAAAAAAGGCGGCCATTCATGTTTCAATCTTTTGCAATTTCCCTACCAATTCAGAGGGCAGTTCTGGGCTCATTAATGAGCCCTTAACAAGTACTTACTGGCTAACTCAGAGCTTCATAACTGGTATATTTTGGTGTGCGGGTGTAACACAAAGAAGTTCCACATGTGCCCAGATAATAATCCTTCCAGGCCTAGAGTAGTATGGGGCTGTAGGGGTGGTGGAGGGAACAGCAGTTAGGGATTGGGGTAACAGCAGCTAGGGATTGGGGTAACAGCAGCCCCTGGAGACAGGCTCCTCAGCGTGAGTGAACGGAGTCAATGTCATGACATGAAAAAGGTTGGGGAGCCTTGGGTTAAATGACCCCCTAGAAACAGTGCTGAAAGAACTGGAAATAGCCTGAATGTCCATCAAAAAAACGAAGTTCTTTTATTTACCAAATAGGAAATCTTCCAAGACATAGATAGTAGTATTACGCTACCATTCATGTAAATGGGGAGAGAAGAAGAAACTTAATTGTTTGTATATGATACGATAAGACACACAGGAAACCTCCATAAGGAGGCACCGTGGTGGCTGATTCACAGTGGAAGCCCAGGGGCTGGAGGCAGAGGAAGGAAGACATATTCCTATAAGCCCTTTGCACTTCTGAATTTTGAGCCACATGACAGTATCGGCTATTAAAAACAATAAACATTTTAAAGTTGTCAAATCCGCCTTTGCCTATCTCCAAATTTCATTAATAATGATTACTCTCTACACCTTCACCCCTAGTCAAATATCAGAAATAATAAAAGAAAGATCTGGGTACTGGTTGCCTGTATGCAGTCTGTGAAAATCCAGTGAGCTCTACACTTATGACCTATGCACTTTTCCATAGGTATAGTACATGTCAACTCGAAAGTTAAAAGACAAAATGAATAGGTTACTTAAGTCAACTTTCTTTTTGTTCCCTCTTAAGAGTAGTATAGCTTTTAATGTACTTGCCTTGATAAAATGAATTCCTATTTCAAACCTTTCAATAATAATTCTCAAAAAAGCCTCACCTGAGTTGAGTCAATACTGCTGACACCATGTGGCAAGGGGAACCAGGAGCCGAGCTCCTCTCAGCTCTTCTCCAGCCTCAAGGCCTACGCTCTTACTCTCTTGTGACTTTTCTGTGGGTTTAACATTATTTCCAAACAAAGTTCTCAAGTCTATTTATTAATAACCACCAATAATTATCAAAACAAGTTTAGAAATGAATCTTGACATTGATTTTGATAGTTGTTCCTTTCCTCACAAGTCATTTTAATTACCTAAGTGTTATCCCAAGGTATTATTTCTACTTGCCAAAAAAAATTATACCTTCTGGCTTGGTTTATAATAGGGCAAAATAAGTACCTTCCAAGTCCCAAAGCTTAACATAATTGTCTTTAACATAAGACTACACCTCAATAATTTCCCATAATGTGAGCCTTAATGGGGAAACTAGATTTACAGGAGGTTTAATAAAAAGTTCCTCATCCACACGAAGGATTAATCTTACCTGAGAGGTAAACACAATGATAAACCCTAATAACAACTTACGTGAGAAGCACTTAAAGTTTTATAAAAAGAAAAAGAAAAAAACATAGAAATCAAAGGTCTAATAAGATGGCAAGTATTCCAATAGATGAATTCTTAAAATTATAATGAAGAACTACACGTGAAAGGCAACACTTTAAACACAAGAAAACATACAGGAGAAAAAATATTCGTGACCTAAGGAAGGGAAGAATTTCTTAAACAAGGCACAAAAGCATAAACCGTAAAAGAAAAGAATGATGCATTAGATTGCACTTAAAGATTCACAATTCATGTACAATAAAAATTCCACAATTAAGGTGAAAAGATAAGTCATAGTCTGAGAAAAGATACTCCATCCAGAATAAAGCACTTCAACAAAACCCTAAGACAGACATTTCAGCAGAAATATGGGCCAAGTCTATGAACAGGCAAGGCAGCTCACAGAAGAGAAAAAGAGAACTCTGGGCACTGCAGGCGGGAGGGCCCTGTGGCACAAGCCCCTGAGGAGAAGCCTGCAGCATTGAGTCAAAGCTTTATCACCACAGGGCATTTAAAGAAATGCAGAGCTGCAGCAGGCCCAACTCACCACACTCCCAGGGAGAGCCTAGCTGCTGCTGTCCTGGATCCACCTCCCAAGGCAGGGAGACAGGGAACTACCCAGGTTGGGGGCCTTCTCACCAACCAGGTCCCTTTAGCTGATACAGCCACTGACAGGATGCATCAAGCCTAAGAGGAGGCTTCAAGTGTCCAGACAGGATAATTCCATGCACCCCATGTACCCCTTCGTAGGCCATCAGAAACCTTTTGTAATTACCTCATATCAGAGGAAAACCATCTCCAAAATGGCCTCCCACCCCTGCAGCCCCAGGATGACACTTTCTAACTACATCTTGGCACTAATGCGAAACCCAAGTTCTTGATCAAACTCAAGAGACTGGCTTCGTTGGTGTCTGTCCAGCAGTATATAACACGACCACACTAAGACACACTTTTTCTCTCCCAAAAGAAGGTCTGTTTTCTACGATTACAGCAAGAAGGTTGGCTTCTCGGAGATGATGGTCAGGGGAAAGTGTTCCAAAATACACAACGTGTTACATGTTTTAACCATAATGAAATGTGTTAAGGCTATAACTACTTAATTAGGATGGGGAAAATGCAGAAATACTGCCAGCTGTATTCTGCTTAAAACAGCGTGAAATCCTCAAACAGCTTTCCTCACTGCAAAAATCCGTGACAACAGAGAGATCCTGCAGGCCCAGTGAGCCATCCCCTATGTGCTGGGGTTGGGGGGATAGCGTAAGGCACACAGGGATTAAAGCGTTCACCCAAGATCACATTTAGGACTTAAAATGTATTTGTGACTTTATAATTAAAAATTACATGACCACCCCGTGTATGCTTGAAAATGTCCACTTCCCTAAAGTTCAAACAAACAAAAAAAATGAGTGATTAGCAGACATTTAAAAGCAAGTCTGGGGGTAGACAAGTACAGGCAAGAATACTACTCTTTCACTCAAGTATGTGCTTTAGAAAATTAGTTCAGAAAAAAGCTAACAGCTCATATCAGAAAGTGTATTCTTTTTCTTAGGCAAAAGATCTAGCAATTCCCTCTGCTCCTCACAACTAAAGACAACACAACCTAAATAATTTCTTTCACCCTAACTGATATCAGATTCTGCAAACTGCAGGCAAAGGGAGCACACTGCCAACAACAACAGAGGAAAGTCCAAAGTCAACTCATCTTCTCTAGAACTGCTACAGAGAAAACATCTACAATTGGACTTCCTTCGGCAATTTCATTTATGTGTCACAGTAACTCAGAAGCTGCATGACACCTATTCTAAAGCAGTAACTATACTGTAAACTCACACATTACAGTCACTATCGGAAAGTCAAGGTACACAACAAATGCAAAACCAAATGCTACTGGCTTTTTTACATCATGATTCCTTTTATAAAATCAAAACAGATAAGTTTCTAATCTGTGTAGGTCATTATGACCAGATGACAAGAGCCAGGCCTTTGCAAAAACAAATAGGGAGATATCCTACATTCTTGCAATTATATCTGTGGAATCAGAAGTCAGACAAGATGATTTTCTGGATAATCAAGAAAATATCACCGTGACCATCAACAAACCATTATCTATTCTTTAGGCCCCAAATGCCATTATTTATTAAGTATTAGGATAAAAGTATGGAAGAGCCAGGCGCAGTGGCTCATGCCTGTAATCCCAGCACTTTGGGAGGCTGACGCAGGTAGATCACAAGGTCAAGAGTTCAAGACCAGCCTGACCAGCATGGTGAAACCTCATCTCTACTAAGAATACAAAAATTAGCCTAGCGTGGTGGTGCACGCCTGTAATCCTAGCTACTCGGGAGGCTGAGGCAGGAGAATTGCTTGAACCCAGAAGGCGGAGGTTGCAGTAAGCCGAGATCATACCACTGCACTCCAGTTTGGGAGACAGAGCAAGACTGTGGGGGGGGGGGGGGGGGGGGGGGGGGAGACAGGGGAAGAGTGTGGGGGGGCGGGGGGGGGAGAAAACGTATAGAAGATACGCGCTCAAAGCTGAGAAAAGGTAATAAAGGGGAACTGAAATTTTTAATCTAAGGCTAAAAATGTAGAATAATGCCAACTTTAACCCTCAAAGAGGGTATCATCTCTTATTTCCTATGATACACTCAGAACTAATGACAAAACTGACAAAATTAAGTTTTTCCCGTGGTAAAGAATTCTGTTCTTACCTCATAAGACCATACACACTGCACCCCTGCAAACCTCCGGACACATCTTCCCACTTCCACGTCCTCATGGGTGGTGTACATCTCCCGGAGACACTTGCCAATGTGCGGCACCATTCTCCGAAGTACCTCCCGGCTCATGATCACGCCAGGCCCCCCCATGCAGAAGTTCTCACCAGGCTCAAGGGCCAGTTTTCCCATTTCTTCTGTGGTGCCCAGGCCTGTCTGCCCAAGAAAGAGGGGCTCGCTGCTATTCAAACTCCTCAGGAAATTCTCCAGACGGTCTCCTTTGATGTACACGTCATCATCTGCTCTCATAAACCATTCATACTTGTCCAAGTAGTGGTCGTGCATGTACTTGAGCATCATGAAGGACTTCTTCTGGGGCGGGTAGGAGTCATCCACACCCCGTAGTGGCACTACTGGAATTGGTATAGATGTGTCAGAACCCTCACTTGAGAAGAACTGAACTTTCCCAGGAATTGTCTTGGACCATGTTCTGGAATTAAAATAAGTATCAGTTAGAGAACAGTTTATTCCAAGATGATTTTCAGGAATTCACATATCTGCTCATTTTGCATCGCCATGTTCAATGGAATGATAAAAAGCTACTTGGCCTGCTTGATTCCTCTTAATGAAAGGCCAGGTTACTGGGTATTGCAAAGTCTAAATTAATTTTCAAAAGAACCCCAATAAAAAATGAAGAAGTGGTAAAACTGTTCTAGGATAACTAAGTTTTAGTTATGGTTGAAAACCAAACTGCCAGGGGACCAAGATCTGGGTATACAGATTAATTTTGTGATACTATCAACTCCCTACCTACAAACTTCTCAGCTCTATAAAACAAAAAACAAAATCAAATGGTTCACTCAAAAAATTTTCTTTGAACCAAGTGCCAAGTATGTGCTAAGCTAAAGGGATGTGGTGGTGAACAAAAACGTGGTCCCCAACTCATAGAGAGGACATAAGCTAAGAGAAGTACTTACAAAGAGCAGAGCACAGGACATGAGCTAGACCAACAGAACAGGGAGGCTTCCCCTGAAACAGGGTTAACATCAAGGAATGCAGGGCACGAAAGTGCTATCATGAGGTGAGGAAGAAGGCTGATAAAGTTTGGCTGTGTCCCCACCCAAATCTCATCTTGAATTATAGCTCCCACAATTCCTACATGTTGCGGGAGGGACCTGGAGGGAGATAAGTGAATCATGGGGGCAATTTCCCCACACTGTTCTCATGGTCATGACTGAGTCTCAAGAGATCTCATGGTTTTACAAGGGGTTTCCCTTTTAGTTTGGCTCTCATTCTCTCTTTTCTGCCACCAAATAAGATGTGCCTTTCACTTTCCACCATGATTGTGAGGCCTCCTCAGCTACGTAGAGCTGTGAGTCCATTAAGCCTCTGTTTCTTGGCCGGGCACGGTGGCTCATGCCTGTAATCCCAGCACTTTGGGAGGCTGAGGTGGGCAGATCATGAGGTCAGGAGATCAAGACCATCCTGGCTAACGTGGTGAAACCCTGTCTCTACTAAAAATACAAAAAAATTAGCCAGGCCGTGGTGGTGGGCGCCTGTAGTCCCAGCTACTCGGGAGGCTGAGGCAGGAGAATGGTGTGAACCAGGAAGGCAGAGCTTGCAGCGAGCTGAGAGCGACAGAGCAAGACTCTGTCTCAAAAAAATAAATTTAAAACAACAACAACACCTCTGTTTCTTTATAAATTACCTATTTTGGGTATGTCTTTATCAGCAGTGTGAGAATGGACTAATACAGAGGCAAATGTGGCCAGGCACAGTGGCTCACACGCCTGTAATCCCAGCACTTTTGAAGGCTGAGGCAGGAAGATCACAAGGTCAGGAGTTCAAGACCAGCCTGGTCAACATGGTAAAACTCTGTCTCTACTAAAAAAAATACAAAGTTTAGCCGGACATGGTGGTGAGCGCCTGTAATCCCAGCTACTCGGGAGGCTAAGGCAGGAGAATTGCTTGAACCTGGGAGGCGGAGGTTGCAGTGAGCCGAGATCGCACCACTGCACTCCAGCCTGGGCAAAAGAGCAAGACTCCATCTCAAAAAAAAAAAAAAAAAGGTACAGAGGCAAATGTGCAGGGCCTGGCAGAGTACACTAAAGATGTAGGCCTCTATGTTGCAAGAGCCACAGGAAGCTTCTAGAGGGAATGTGGCAGAAGACAAGATTAAGGCCCACACATTTTGAACTCCCTAGGAATGGAGAAGAGGACTGAAGGAAGCCAGAGTGGACCCAGGAAGACCACTGAGTAAACTACTGCAGCAGCCCAGACCTGGGTTTAAGAGACAACAGTTGCCCATCAACAGAGGGAGGATGAGTGGTCAACTGCAAGGAAACCACATAAAGGCTGCTTCTGCTGAGCAGCTAATTTAAGGCTATCATGTCGCACTTTTTCTCACATTTTCTTCCCGCTCTGTATTAAGATCTAAAGTTGTTTGGCTACAATAATTAATTTATACAGACTACTTCTAAGAAAAAGTATCGTGGAGAATAAATAAAATAGTAAATTTAATCCCAAGATCAAAAAAGCACAGTTATCAAATGACGTTCTCTCAAATATTTTTTTATTTTACCTGTTACAACTGTATTTATTATAGTGAAAAATTACTTGAAGGATCACTGAAACCCCCCACACATCTTTAAGGAAAAGTCTTAGGAGAGAAATATCTGAAAAGATACACACCAAACCTCTGGGGAAGAGATACCAAGGAGGAAAATTGGGAGGAGTTGGAATGTGTGTGGACAAAGGTGACTTTCACTTTTTATTCTATGCATCTCTATATTGAAGGACAATGGCGTTAAGTATATTACTTTTTGAAAAAAATTGTGATAAAATATACATAAAGTTTATCATCTTAACCATTTCTAAACGTAAAGTTCAGCAGCATTCAGTGTTGTGAAACCATCACCACCATCCATTTCCAAAACTTTTTTCATCTTGCGAAACTGAGATTCTAAACATTTTACTTTTGTAATTTTAAAAAGAACTCACAATGAAGTACTTGGAAAACAAATGACTGGCTTTTACTTCTCTTCCAAACCCAAATATGAGGAATACAAAACAACTTCAAATGTATCTTTCAAGTAGAGGCAAAATTTAATGGAATTCAACTTTCTGCCAATACGCCTCTCAAAAAGTGCAAGGATTAAACATATACCATTTTTCATCAAATTTAGGATGTTAACTGGAAGATGCACCATTGTTTTATCTATCAACAACAAATTTAAAAAATACTGCCACTCGTAATCCCATGATGCCAGTAACTATAAAATCCATCCTGATTTCTGAGATGTCAAAATCACAGAATGGATATAAGATGGCGTTGTTAATGTTTTCACTTAGTGTCTATGGATTTAAAATGGACCTGTATTCTTATGCCACTTAAATAACTCATTAACAAAGAACAACAATAACAACAAAGAACAACAATAACTACGAAGAACAACAATAACAACAAAAACCAAATTCAGCTCATTCATTTCACAGTATTAACAGATACTGTACTAGGTACTGCACTTCATTTTCACAAAGGATATGCTCCTGAAGAAAAAGGATGTAGAATAAACAGAGATGTGGCAATTAATTTAAAGAAAAACCAATTCCACCTACAAAGGGACAAGTCCTTTTGCAAATGCGACAATGTGTGAATGTGTGACAAGCTATACACAGTCTTCTGATGTGGTGACATATGGAGGGGAGACAACTTCTCAGAACGCCTCCAGCCTTGAGAAGTTAGGACAAAATTATAGTGTAATAACCCCCCATTCAAGTTGAGGAGCCCCTGATGACGCTCTCTTTATAGAGAAATGTTTTTCATTTGGCAGTCACAACAATTCTTGGAAAAGGTAAATAATTTCCGTGTTTGGCACACAATAGAGGTCAATAAATGTGTGGACTGAATACTGCCCACTAGTGTACTATAAGCGACTTAATGGTGCCGCATGTGTTTACAAAAGGTTAGAAATAATTTCTATCTTGTATCTTTGAGAAATTTTCAACTTAGGAAGCCATGAAAATACTAAAACACTATAATGTTACTTGGGAGATGGGGTGGGTGAGACAATTCCTGCCTTCAAAGAACCACCTACTAAGGAGGCAATCTACAGCATCACGGTCAAGAGCTGGCTCTGGAATCAGGCCATGGGGGTGAGAATCCCAGCTCCACTTTGGGTGAGTTACTCTGTGCCTCAGTTTCCTTATCTGTAAACGGTGGTTGCTGTGAGGGTTAAATGAGTTCTCTGTAAAGTGCTTAGAAGCCTGCTTGGCACTATGTAAGTATGACTTATTATTAGGTAAGGCAAGAGTTTGCAAATCAAATAAAGCAGTGAAAGAAAAAGTAAGGAAGACAGGAAAGTGTGGGTTCAACATGGACTAGTCAGTCTCAGGAATACACGGAAGAAAGGTAATGTGGAAAATGCTTCTTATGTTTCTGGCTAAAAACCTGAGCCTCAAGCTATATACTGAAATCTTGTTTTACTATCAACTTCAGACAATGTTACAGGATAGAAGTCTAAGACTTGAAATTTCACAAGCGTTTTTGCTTTAGAACACCAGAAACTTTCCTATTAGACTGAGGATGAAACTTAATTTTAGTTTGGCCCTGCTTCCCGTGTGCCCCACCAGGAAGAACACAGTGAAGGAGGCCCTAGCAGTACAACCAGCACATACGCAATTAATGCCTCAACTATGACTTGAAACGGTGTAATTTGCTCAAGAAGAGAAACCAATTAATTTTAAAAACAGTCTAACCTCAACCCTACAGTTTTATGGTAACTCCACCCAATTATTATCTGTTCCTTTTTAGGTAATTCAGGGAAAAACCTCCTGTTGTCCTTTTCTGTTCTAAATGACTGGTGGTTGGTTTTGAGGGAAATCTCTCAATGTCAAGTCTTTGTAAACCCTCCAATCTTAAGAAATTATAATCTTTTCAATTAGGGTCCTTAACTTAAATAGCTCCACAAAGTGAACGAGTTCTGGAACATAAATCGTGATTCACCACCATCCTGAGGAAGGAGGAGGGGATGCACTAATAATTTCAAATAATTGAAGGGAATGCTCCTGAAGAAGCAAGCTGTCCCCTCTTCTGCAATATCAACAGGTCCAGTTCCTTCATTTTCATAAGCAAACGTCAACTTTGCCATCAACACATTTGTTACCAGGAGCAAAGAACTCTCACTTAATTGAAACGACAAAACGTTTGCAGAGGCCTTGCCAGAAAAAGCTCATTTTCAACGAACTGATATCCAACTCTTGCTCAAGCCCAGATAAGACAGCTGAAACTTGAGAGTGCCAAGTGAATCTTCCATCATACTAGGTTTCTAAACGCTATTCCTACACTGAGTTAAATCACAGTTAAGTAATTCGGCTGGACCAATATTAGCTTAGCTAAGGAATGCCTTTGCTGGTTAGGACTTAACCCATTTATGCCGGAGGTTGCGATTTTTTTGTGTGTGGAAAAAATCAGACCTTGGTGATGACCTT